CTGATCCGTGGGTCAGGAAGATCCCCTGCAGGAGGGCAAGGCCGCCCCACTCCAGTATTCTGGCCTGGAGAATCCATGGACAGAGGAGCCAGGCAGGCTGTAGTATGACTGAAGCCACTTAGCATTCACACGCAGAAGACACATCATTTTCTCTGGCGGCAGGGCTTTGGAGGAAGTGAATTGGCAGTTCCAATGACAACTTTGAGAGGAACACCAACCTGGGCTATATAAGTAGGTTTTGATCCAGAGAAATCTCTTGTTAACTGGACCCCCAACCCCCTTTTTTTTTGTTGTTGTTGAGAATGATTAGGAAAAGTGCCATTTTCTATCCATTTTTGTTCTGTTCTTTGAAATGATACTGGACTTCTGCTGATCCCTTAGTCCAAAAATGTGGCTATCAGGAATGAAAGGCTATAATAGTCACCCCATATTACTCTTAATTTTGTATTAATGTCAAAGGAGATGAAAGGGAAAAATTTGCACTCATGCTGAAATTGCAAATGGAAATGTATGAGTGACCCCTTGGGTCTTTCTGTTTGACACTAAAAGCTGTGTTTTCTCCGCAATGACCCACATGCTGCTAACCATAATTGGAATTAATTTAGTAAAGCATTTTGCTCTGAGTAAAATAGATATTTTCAACTTTTAAGTGTGTTTAACAGAAAAGGAGGAAAGAATCTAAATTCAGAAATAAGTCCAATGGTCAAGTTTCGATGTACTCCATTCCAAATACAGTTTTCTTCCTTTGCAGCACACATTCTGTAACGTAAATAAGTCAAATGGGATTGGTGGAGAAAGTGATGATGTCAATATAACTTGAAAGCCTGCAAAGTTCCTATATGATTTCCCCTCAGCATCCTAACGTTTTCTGCTGTAACAACATCAAAATAAGGTCCATATGGTCAAGGCTATGGTCTTTCCAGCAGTCATGCACAGATGTGAGAGCTGGAATAAAGAAGGCAGAGCACTGAAGAATTGATGCCTTCAAACTGTGGTGCTGGAGAAGACTCCTGAGAGTCCCTCAGACAGCAAGGAGATCCAACTAATCAATCCTAGAGGAAATCAACCCTGAATATTCATTGGAAGGACTGATGCTGAAGCTGAAGCTCCAAGACTTCTGTCACACGATGTGAAGAGCTGACTCATTGGAAAAGACCCTGATGCTGGGAAAGATTGAAGGTAGGAGGAGAAGGGGACGACAAAGGATGAGATTGTTGGATGGCTAATTGACTAATGGACATGAGTTTGAGCAAACTCTGGGAGATAGTGAGTGATAGGGAAGCCTGGTGTGCTTCAGTCCATGGGGTCTCAAAGAACCGTACATAACTGAGCAACTGAACAATGACAATAGTGTCATATATTTGCAAAGGCACTTACAATCTTCAGACTGTGTCTGTGTGAGGAGTCTTTCAAAGGTCAAAAGTAGACACTACCTTCCTGATGTAATATAATCAGTAAATCTTAATTTTTAATTTGGGTGATATATTTGTTAAAATAAACATAATTGAGAAGTTGCAGCTAGTTGAGAGATGGTACAATATGGCTTGGGAATACAGATTCTGTATCAACACTTCCTGGATCAAATATCAGCTCTGCCATAACTTGGGACAGCTCATTTAACTTCTTTGTTCCTTAGTTTTCTCATTTGTAAAATGGAAGTATAATGTTTACCTCCTAGTGCTACTGTAAGGATTAGATGTGTTAAAATACTTTATACTTAATAATGTGTGTTAGTTGCTCAGTCGTGTCTGACTCTGTATGCCCCATGGACTGTAGGCTACCAGGCACCTCTATCCATGGAATGCTCCAGATAAGAATACTGGAGTGGGCAGCCCTTCCCTTCTCCAGGGGATCTTCTCAACCCAGGAACCAAACCTAGGTCTCCTGCATTGCTGGTAGATTCTTTACCATCTAAGCCACCAGGGAACTTAATAATACTTAGTATTATTTTGATTTAAAATATAATTAGCTGATCAATTAGCTGTCATACAATATTTGTTTTACACGAGGGTAGGCATTTCTTGAAAGTAGTATCTGTCATATATCTTTTATATTCTCAGTATTAAAATAGGTAAGTTCCAATTAATACTGGTTAAACTGGATTTAATTCTTTGATTACTCTTTGTTTTTCTTTGACCAGAAAATTTGTTTGCCGATTAGGTTCTTCCAAAGATAGTCACTTTTCTTCCTGTGTAATCTATGCTATTAAAAAATATTTTAAATTTTAATTCATTTTAGAATTCTCTATCTTATCATTGAAATAAAGAAGAACAACAAGTAGGTATCAAATGGTGAATTAGCAGAGGGAAAAAAGCTGAAAGATCTGAAGGCTAACAGCAGTAAGATTTTTGGATACAAAAGTTTTAAGACCAAAGAAACAACAGTCTCAACTTTTATAGGTAGCTAATATGTCATAGTCAACAAATGCTTTTTAGTCAAACACTGCTGGATGCTGAGGAATCAGGAAAAATGGGCCCCTTTACCGAAAAGCTTAGGATACTATAAAAGGGATGAGACACCTATATGATACTTGAAAAATAACACAGGATCATAAATTTGAATATGAATATATAATAGATAGCTCACCAGATTGGGTTCTGATCTTCAGTCTCTCCAAGCAGCCTCATCTATAAAAAGAGGTAGTTAGCTTAAATTTCCTTCAAACTGTGAAAATCTAGAATTTAATGTCTGTTAATGGATCCTTCAATTTGTACGCTTTGAAATTCAACAGGATTCTCAATTGACAGGCATTGTCTCTTATTTCTCGTCAAGTTATCTTTTCTACTAGTCAAATAATAAAAGACTATAATGGGTTTGTCAACAAGTAGATTAGTAACATTCAAAGTAATGGTAGTAGCAAATAGATGTTGTTACAAAGCTTTACAGAGGGAATTGGCAATATATTCTAGATAACACATCTTAGTTTACTTCTCTGTAGATCAGTAAAACATTATTTCTCCCTGTTAGTCATGGAATGCAACCATATTCCCATTCCATATTAAGGAGAGAATTATGAATTAATCCTTTCATATTAATAATATTTAAGTAGATCACTTCTGTTTAACTTCATTATCTCCAAATATGTTTCTAAACTGGTTTATGGTTTCTGTTTTTATCTTTTATAGAGACTGGTATCTCTAACAGGTTCAACATTTCACCCCTCCTGCTGATAATTGCACAATTCTGTAAATCTATTTTAAAAAGCATTGATCTGTACACTTGAAAACAGGTGAATTTTATGGTATACAAATTACAGTAAGTTTGTTTAAAAAAGAGTAAAGCTAAAGTATACCTAAGAACCATAAAATTCATCTCTAGGTACATGCCAGAGGTGCTTACAGTTTTCACAAGGGCCAAAGTCCTGTAATCAGCAGTCTTGGAAAACCTTCTGTGGACTGCTCTGGGTGCCCCATTGTTTCAGTAATGTCCAGTTCTTTTCAACTCCGTGGACTGTAGCCCACCAGGTTCCTCTGTCTTTGGGATTCTCCAGGCAGAAATACAGGAGTAGATTGCTATGTCCTCCTCCAGGGGATCTTCCCGACTCGGGGATCAAACATGTGTCTCCTGCATTGGTGGGCAGATTCGTCGCCACTGACCCATCAGGGAAGCCCCCTTCTATGAATTATTTAATCTCTATATTACAGATTCTTCATAAAGTAATTTTTAAACAATACTTAATTAAAACAAAACCAAACAGTTCAATCAATACATTAGGTTTTTTTTTAATTTTCTCACTGCATGATACAGAATTTGTTCTTTTGAAATTATAAATGTTTTAGACACAAAAACCTAAATCTTCATTTGCTTTCAATTAAAAAAAAGCTAGGAAAAAAATAAAAAAATTTTTAAAATCTAGAATGTAGACCACAATTTTAGATATTACTTGCTTTTTGTTTCATGTCCCAAGAAGCGCACTGCATTATATGTCTCTTAATCCCAGCTCTGCTACCAATAAGTAGGGTGACCTCAAGAATGTTTCATAAATTGTAATCTTTCCTATCCATAAAATGGCAATAATAAAGGCAAAGGTTCTTCACTAATTTGTTAGGAACACTGAATGAGTCAATATATGTTAAGTCATTTTGAAGAGTGCTTCTTAGATAGGAAACATTCACTAAACATATATTATTACTACATTTTACTTACCAAAAGGTGAATTATTTTCTGAACTCTTTTGTGCATGAGAGCTCTATTAGAAGCCATTTAATTGTGGTGTTCTGCTCATTTTAGAAATGTGTGAAGTGAAAGGTAGATACATCTGATTCTAACCAGACATGAAAATGTAGACTATGTTCTTTTAATGGGCAAAACTGTGCACTGACCCTGGAATAACTTTGTCTACTGGCTTTCATCATGTGATGTGTGGAAGGACCTGCTGCAGCGGGAATCCCGTGGGCGTTCCTCAGCAGGGTAGCGTTCCCTCCCTCTTTGCAGCACTGTGCGGTTGGTGGTGTTGGCCACAGCTTTACTAGTAAAGACTTGCGAAGACAGGGAGTTCCCCGGTGGCTCAGGGCTGAAGACTGCCGCCAAGGCTGGAGACACAGGAGAAGGGGGATCTATCCCCGGGTGGGGGAGGCCCCCTGGAGGAGGGCATTGAAACCCACTCCAGTGTTCGTGCCTGGAGAATCCCATGGACAGAGGAGCTTCGCAGGCGGCAGTATATGAGGCTGCAAGAGTCAGACACGACCGGGCCGCTGAGCACTCGTGGCGATGGCCAGGGTACGGACAGTGGCGGGAGGATGAGCTGTGTCTTTAAGGAGGCCGTTATGTGTGGGGCAACGTGCTAGGCACGTTATTTTTTAAACTTTACTCACTTGTTTAATTTGTGGCTGGGCTGCATGCAGCCGTTCTCCATTTGCGGCCAGCGGTGCTCCTTTCTGGCCGCGGTGGGCTGACTTCATCGCACGGCTTCTCTGTGGCCGGGGACAGGCTCCGGGCACGGGCTCGGCAGCCGGCCTGCGCAGGCTGCGTTGCTGTGCCGCGTGTGCGATCGCCTCAAAGCGGGGGTTGAACCCAGGCCCATCAGCAGGCAGATTCTTCACCACCGGGTCACCCGGGAAGCTTCTATGGGTGAAGAAACCACAGATGAAGATACTGGCTCAGTCAGGAAGCTAGATAACAGAGACAGGGCTCAGCTGCCCTGGCTGATAGCAACTCCTGCTATCCTCACAATCCTGTCTCTTCCAGATACCAGGTACACAACTAGATACGTTAAAACAGTTAGTTCTTTCCTGTTTGAGATAAGTTGCCAGCTAAGTCTTCCTTCGGTGGCTTAGAATCTGGTAAAGAATCTGCCTGAAATGCAGGAGATCTGTTCGATCTCTGGGTTGGGAAGATCCCTTGGAGGAGGAAATGGCAACCCACTCCAGTATTCTTGCCTGGATAATCTCATGGGCAGAGAACCTAGCAGGCTATAGTCCACGGGGTAGCAAAGAATCAGACATGACTGAGTGACTAATACTTTCACCAATCCTTACTTCCTCCTGGGAAGACTTAATGTGACATCTGGGTACAACCTGTGTCTCTTCTTTCTTCATTTTGAAAACTTCCCTTCATCCTAGATTTATAGTTCATTTTAATGGAGTTCTCTGCAGCCCACGTTTTCCTGTTTAAATTTTTCTTCTGACAAGTAATAGTGTATAAATGTAATAACAGATATTAGTCATGACAACTGCATTGAAATAATTTTTATGACAAAATTACTTCTAAATTATTTTTTGGTAGTGCTTGGATTTGCAGCTTAATATTGTATAATTTATATAAGGAATTAGATTTGTCTGTGATTATGAAAACAGGTAAGGGAATGGGACACATAAGAAAATGATTAGATTGTTTAACTTAAAAAAGATAAATTAATTTCTATATATATAATTATATATCCTTTATAAATTTAAAGATGATAAATTACTAGAGCCAGAATAGGTTTTTTTTCCCCCTGCCACAAAATACTGTTTTAATCAAGTTCCTTCCTAATTCAAAAATTATCAGTAACATCCAATCACTTTAAAGTGCAAGGCATTTATATTGTCTTCAAGTTATTCATGTGCTTCTCCAGCCACATCTCCCATAGCCTCTCTCAACAACTTTCTGTACAACCCACTGTCTGGCAAAAGAACTGGTACATTTCCACCTCTTTCATTTCACGCACTGTTTTATTTCATTGCCATATCCCACATATGTCTCTGACTATGTGCCTCTTACTCCTCCTTCAAGCCTCACCTCCTTCATGAAGAGCCTTCCTTGCCGTGTCTTCCTCTGAGTTCCTACATGCTTCCTGTAGCCACTACATACATGATGCTGGGCTGGGCTATGGAGCTTTGGTTGTGTCCAACACTTTGTGGCCCTCTAGACTGTAGCCCACCAGGCTCCTCTGTCCGCTGGATTCTCTAGGCAAGAATACTGGAGTGGAATTAGAGATTAATAGTAAACCCTGTCATTTATAGAAAGGAAAAATGAAACCCAGAAAAGTTAAGTGATATGACATGACAACTTTCTGACTAAGCTCATTCAAAATGAGTCTCAGTTTAACTGAGCAAGCAGGTATTGAATGCCTGTAATGTGGAAAGCATGAGGCTAAGACCTTCTGGGATGCCAAGTGAATAAGATCACCTATACCCTTGAAATATGAGTTATATACTTCTGGAACAAGGCATGCTAAACTTAATATTAAAATAAAAGAATAAAACTTATTGTCTGATACTTTCTAGCTCTAGATATGACTCTCAAGGACAATTTGCAGACATCAGGAAAAGATTGACATCAACACTCAGGAAAGATTTCAATTTGGGCCAGTTTGTCAACAAGATTGAAAAGTTCATGTCTCAGAGAGTTATATATCAACTTGGTTAGTCCAGAGTACACAGATTTTTGATCAAAAACATTGAGCTGTTTCTTCAAAGGCACTTTTTAGAGATTATCATTCAAATCAGTAGACTGGATAGATTATGCTCCATAATGTGAGTGGGCCTCATCTACTAGGGCTATGCTTAGTCATGTCTGACTTCATGACACCATGAACAGTAGCATGCCAGGCTTCTCTGTCCATGGGGATTTTTCAGGCAAGAATACTTGAGTGAGTTGCCATGCCCTCCTCCAGGGGATCTTCCCAACCCAGGGATTAAACCCAGGTCTCCTGCATTGCAGACAGATTCTTTACCATCTGAACCACCAGGGAAGCCCTCATCTACTAGTTGAAGGCCTTTAATAGAAAAGGATTGATGTCCCCTGAAGAAGGGAGAATCCTGAGTATAGTCTGCCTTTGAACTCAAACTGTAGCATCCAACATTTCCTGTGTCTCCAACCTTCCAGCCTACCCTATACCCAGGGAGAATCCTGAGTATAGTCTGCCTTTGAACTAAAACTATAGCATCCAACATTTCCTGTGTCTCCAACCTTCCAGCCTACCCTATAGATTTGGACTTTCTAGCCTCCACAATTGCATGAGCCAGTTCCCTCAAATTAATCTCTCTCTGTCTCTCTCTCTCATACAACACCCCCCTTCCATACATCCTTTTGATTGTTTCTCTGGAGAACTTTGACTAATACAGCAAAGGTCCCTTTCAGATCTATCTGCTGGTGATTCATGTATAAAATGGAATTTCTCCTTCAAATCTGTAGTTCAACGTGTTTGTACACAAACCTTTGTCTGTGTTAGTTTGTATCTTACTTTGTATCCTTGAAGTGGAATCACTGCATCAAGAGATATGAACATTTTCAAGATCCTTGATACTTATTTAGATCCTATAAAATAGCATGGGGCTTTGTGGCCTGCTCCTTGCATTTATAATTTTTGAATTCGAATAGCATAGAAGAAATAATTATAGAATGTTTGCAATTTGCATAATCTCATTTATTTTACTTCTCTTTCTTTGTGAGGTTCCCCCAACCTTTCATTCTATGCTTTCATGTATAAAGTTGGCAGCAATACTAGTCTGTGGGTATCAATTTTTTTCCCATAGGCCTTAATCTTCTTGCTTGTTGTGGAAAAGAAACCACGGTCAAAAGCCATTCATATGAGAAATTAGTAGCTCCTAAAATACTGCTGGAGCAAAAAGGAATTTTCCAGTCTGTAAGATAGCATACCCTTGCAAAACGTTTAATTCATTTCTCCTGAACACTGTGTTTTCATTTTTACTGAACACTGACCTGAATGTGCCATGCACATTCTCTCTGCATTTCTATTATTAAAGTTTGGATTCATTTAATCCTCATTAATTTATTCAGCAAATACTTGCTTAGTTTATTTGTGGGCGCTGTTCAGGCACTGAGGATAAAGCGTGAGCAAAACAGACTTTTCTCTGGTTTGCGGAGCATACATTCTAGAAGAAAGAGGAGAATGCCACTGCTAAACAGACCAAACTTTTAAAACTTCATTCCAAAAAATTGAAAAAATAATATGAATGTATACAGAATATTTGGAATTACAAAATAGGGATGACTAACAGCACATTTTTGTTCTCTTATTTTGCCTTAGTTACAGAGACCATGGAAACATTTGTATGTGTGATCTTTGTGACAAATGGAGACATTTGTGACATGGAGAGACCTAGATTACACTCTGGATCCCCTAGTCTTCTCTTGGCTAGCATGGCCTTCCAGAAGGCCAGAAGACCAGCCCTAAGGATGCCATAAGTAAGCATTTTTGGCATAAAGCTTTTAAGGAAGATTTTAGTGCATTTTGTTTTACATTCCAAGACTGAATTACATTCACTGTGTTTTTGTTGTTCAGTTAGTAAGTCATATCCAACTCTTTGCAACCCCACGGACAGAAGCATGCCAGGCTTCCCTGTCCGTCACGATCTCTGGGAGTTTGCTCAAACTCATGTTCATTACAAAAGTTTCATAAGATAGAGACTCAGTAAGAAAGAAAAATTGACAGTCTAGCTCACCATTGAAAGAGAACACTGCTTCTAACACTTTAATATATTAAAATAGAGTAAATAAAATATGTACATATAAATGTACATACTTTAAAAATCTGGCTTGTGTTATACATAGTATTCTGTAGCCTCTGTTTTTACTTAAAACTATGTTACAGAACTTTTTTCTATCTTGAAGTATTTTCCCAGAACATGATATTGAATGAATGTAAAAGTACTCTAATGTACATAAGCCCTGTGTTATTGTTGGACATTTAAACTGTTTATCTTGTCAGAGCATCTCTGATCATTTCCTTAAGATAAATTCATAGAAGTAAAAGTGTTGGGTCAAAATGAAGGCACATTTTTATTATTTGTGATCCTAATGAACAGACTATGCCAATTTGTACTCCTGCCCGCAATGTATGCAAACACCAAAGAAGTTATATTTATTTTTTAAAGCCCACCAAGGTTGAGCAGGTAAGATGAGCAGGCAGATCAGGGCTGTGCATTCCTACGGGCCTCACACAGTGCGACTCACTGTCTCTGGACAAGGCTGTCTGTTCAGGTAAGAACTGGTCGTACTCATTGCCTTTAAGTCTACGTTCTGGTGAAGCAGATTGGTAGCTGAGTGGGCTGTGTGTGGTATTTTACAAGATTTAGGCCTTCTTCCAGCTCTGGCCTGCACTGACTCAGTCAGCCAAATCCCTTTCTTGGCACGAAGCTGCCAGAGTCAGAGACTCTTTGCTAGCTTCTGTGTTACATGTATGTAAAGCTTAGAAACCTCTATTTCTTTTGGAGTTTCTCTTTTGTTCCAGGCATCAGAGAAGTGATGGTTTCCTGTTCTATGGAGGCTCTGGAAGCCTTTCAGTCTTCCCAGAGGACAGGTCATTTCCCCACTTACAACAGTCCAGTGACTCTCTGTGCTATTTAGAACAAAGTAAATTTCCCTGTGGTGGAAAGCGTTCCTCCAATGACATCTCTGACTGTTATTAGTATCCTCCAGCCCCACAGATCCCTTTTCAGCCCCTTGATTTTTTCAAGGGCATTCTGACCTCACAGTCTTTGTACTTGCAATTCTTTACCACTCGTTTCTCATATCTTTACTTCTGGGTTATACTCTTTCTGGTATAAATATCTAAAAATAGTTCCCCTCCATTATTGCGCTCGCCACTCTCCTTTTACAGTTTTTAAGAATTCTTCTCAATATTCAACATTATTTGAAATCACATTATTCATAGTTTCTTTTTTTTTTCCTTGCTTATTGTCTGTCTCCTCTTGCTGGAATACAGACTCCTTGAGGGCAGAGGTTTCCTGTGGCTTGTTTGTTGTCAAATCTTTCTATGCTGGGCACTGAGCTAAATAGAATAAATACACATTGAGTGAGTGAAGGAAAGAAGGAGTAAAGGAGATGAACTGCTTCTGGGTGGGTAAGACAATCCACTTTCCCCTCCTTGCACTCACACTGACACAGCCAATTTACCCGTTAGTGAGATATATGCCTTTGGTCTCTTCTGCTCCTAGCAGAGTGACATTCAAATGCACGTTAAAAATATCTCAGTCTCACCTGTCTGATGTCTTCTTTATGTTGAGGTGAAAGGCCAGAGATTAGGAGTCTTACCCTTACTAATAGAGAGAATTTTTGGATAATCTTGTGCAAAGTTAGAGTTGTCCCAGTTCCCAATACTGATCTGACAATGTGTTTCAGGAGCTAAATTCATACACAATTTTCTTAGCTATTTAATTCTTTTTATTTTTACATGAAAAAAATCTTTACATTAGTTATGCTTTGGGGGTCTCAGTTCACTTACTATTTACCTAATTCACTCTCCAAATTAAAAATTAAGATTAAGAAAATAGAATACACCTAAGGTCCTAAGGAAGTTGTTTGGCACATGGCAAGGTTCCTAAACAGATTAATTCTCTCTTCAGGATTATTTCTGTCTCTGTCTCTTTCTCTCTCTTATTTTTTTTCTAAAAAGATGAAGAATGAAAAAACCAAAAAATGTGTCAGAATGGTGTATGGGGAGAGGAAGTTAATATTCTCCTTTCAATTATCTCTTTATTAAATAATTTATTACCTTTGTTTCCAGTATTTTCTCTTTCAAAATTTGATAAATTGGGAAACTCATATGCACAACAGTTGGAGAATAGTTAAGAAGAATGTATTTATACACTGTCTGGGTTCTGCTTGCTAATCACAATGTGATCTGGTAAACACTTGGAATACCAATTATTCTTGTTAAACAAGAGGTTTCAACTTGGTGGCTCCTGAGTATAATAGTGTCAAGGAAAATATCGTAGATTTATAAACTCAGGTTATTTTACGTACATTCAAAAAGTCTTATTTCTGATTCTCTCAAAAATAATACTAATAGTCAGGAACTCTGGCAACACTGACCCACAATTCTGAATGGCAATATTTGGCTCGAGATGAGCAGTGCCAGATTTGTGTATCTAGGGTGTGTGGTTGGCTATCATACGCGTTTTCATTTGACTTTGCTCATTTATGTCACATCCTTGGCTCTGAAGATGTCAGAGCCTGCTCCGCTTGGATGCCGTGATCTCCTAAGTGCCCTGACGTCCCCCAACACCTCACTCATCTGCCCCCAGCTTTACTTTTTTCTGGCTCCGTGTCACTCCCGTGAGAAAGACACGGCCGTTCTGTGCTGTGTGTACTAGGATCTGTCTGTACCATGGGTGAGGGCTGTGGTTTGTCTTTGCTGTGTCCAAGTTGAGGTGAGAAGCTTGAGAGAAAAAAAGAGGGGAGATACAAAGACTTGAGAGGAAATGATAGAGAAGGGAAATTAACTAGCATTTGGCTTTTCTCCTTCATCTGTCTGACCAAGTTCATGTTGACTCTGTCTGTATTTAATTTATAATGTGCCACTCATTTATAATAGGGTTCAACAGTCTGAGTCCCCCTCCAATTTTGGCTGTGTTGGGAACTGGAGAATGAGTAATAGCCTTATTATTAAAAAGAAATAAAAAGGAAGCCAAAATTATAGTCATGTATTTTTTCAAGAAAATCATTTTAGTGTGTGTTGAGAAAAGCAAAATTTCAGACATATTTGAAAGAGGTGATTACGAATCAAAAGGTGGATCATATTTAAAAACCAAATGGGAATAATGACTTTGGGAACTGGAGAGACTGGGGAGAAAACCGACAAGGACGCATTAAGCTGCTCTTCAGTAGCAGCGTGGATGTGGTCATGGCAAATGAGGACAATGTCTGAAAGAAAGGAAATGAAGGTCTTATTGTAGAAGCCAAAAAGATTTCATTTTTGTTTTCCTCCGAATTATTATTATCAGCTGTGACTGATGATGAAGGACCACTTAACATTCTCTTCAAAGAATATTCATCAACCACTTCTCTGGCCCGATCTCCCATGGACTAACATGACAAAGACAGAATTCTGCCCTAATTCTTAAAAGAACAGGAAAACACTGATGTCATCCGTTTGTTTAATTCTAGAAAATCTTTCCCTGAAGTCTGTTTTTGCACGGCCAAACTGGGAAGGGATGTCTGGGGGAGTAATTAAAGGCTTTAAACATGAAAGAATGAGAAATTCTTAGCGCAGCCTGGAGCCTCAGTGAGAATAATGGGAACCAAGGGATGTTGAGATGGGCAAGCCAACGTCGGTGTGAAAACAGGTCAGCATCGTTGACTTGTTTAAAGTTGGTGCCGATGAGAATCGGCAGCTTCAGTTCACCTTTCACAATCTGCGCTGGCAAATCAGTATTTGAAACTAGATGGTCAGGGGCAGAGTAACGTCAGCACAAGAGAACAGACTCGTTGAGGGCTCGGGTTGCTTCCTGTTGATTACAGGTTGGTATAGATAATGCACTTAAAATCTTTCCTTAGAAAGTCTACATTTAGAGCAGCTAGAGTTACTGAGGGCTTCCCTGGTTGCTCAGTGGTAAAGAATGTGCCTGCCAATGCAGGAGATGCAGGTACAATCCCGGGGTGGGGAAGATCCCCTGGAGAAGGAAATGGCAACCCACGCCAGTATTGTTGCCTGGCAAATCCCATGGACAGAGGAGCCTGGTGGGCTACAGTCCGTGGGGCCATGCTGTTATGACCTGGATATAAACTGTGAATTTTAAAAATATTATTCTATAATGCTTATTTAAGGTACATATATATGAAAATTCTCAGGCAGTTTAGGCTGGATGTCACCAAAACTGAAGTCATTATTTGTTTTTCCCCTACTTTACTGGTTGGTTCCCCACCTCCCCATCTCCTTTACTGGTCCTTCCTCTCTTTATAACCCATATACATATGCTTGACTCAGAGACTTCTTACTTCTGAGGTGAAAGCATTGAGGTTCATGATTTTAATCATGTATATGCTATGACTTCTACATTCATAACTGCAATGTCAACCCAACCCCTGTGTTCTGGATTTGTATATTCAACTGCTTACCCAGTATCTTCACTTTTCTATATATCATCTTTTCAATATCTAATAGATACCTCAAAGATTACAAATTAGCACACTGTTGAATGCAAACTCGTTACAATTAGAGACTTTGTCTAAAAGTGGTAGGTATATAGTAAAAGCATGCTAAATATTTGTTGAATGTATTATAAGTGATTGCCTTAATTTATCCCCACATCTGCATTTTATCCTGTACCTTTTTAAAAAAATTTTAATTAAATGTATTGTTATCCATCCAACTGGCAAAGGTAGAAAACTTGGTCTTTCTCATTCTTCCTATGTCTTACCTTCCACATCAAATTAGTCCTTAAATCCTCTGAATTATCCCTGAGAAAACGATCTGTAATCCATTTCTTTCTATTACAACTGTTACTATAAATTATCTTCTCTAACTGAGGTATTAGAACTTTTGTCATGGCCTGAATAGTGTTCCCCCAATCTTATATGTTGAAGCCCTAATCTCTCATACCTCAGAATGTGACTATGTTTGGAGACAGGAGCTCTAAAGAGGAAATCAAGTTAAAATAAAACAATTAGGGAGGGCCCTAACCCAATCTGATTTTTGTCACTTTTATAGAAAGGTGATGTTAAGACACACAAAGAGACTTCATGGACATGGGTGTCTGGAGGAAAGACCATGTGAGGACCCAGTCAGAAGGCATTCGTCTATAAGCCAAAGAGGCCTCAGGAGAAACCAAACCTGCAGACACCTTGATCTTGGACTAGCCCCGACAGCTATGAAAAATTAAATTTCTCTTGTTTAAACCACACAGTCTGGGGTAGTTGGTTATGTCAGCCTTAGCAAACTAATATATCTTCCCTAAAAAGATTCTCTAGTCGTCCCTAGTAAGTTCATTTTCTACCTATTTATCTATCTATGATAGGTTGGGGGGAAAAGGAGAACAAAGAAATAAAAATGATTACAGCTTTAAGGATTAGTAGAAAGGAACTATTCTTATTTTTGTAGATAGAAAGATGATATGAGGAAGAACTGCTTTCCAGAGCTGGTAACATTTTATGTTATGAACATTTATAATGGAATAAACAAAGGGAAAAAAACCTACAAGTTCTTTTTTAAAAAAATATATTTTATTTTTCATTTCTATTCTATGCTAAGGGTAGTAAGTTTGGATGCTGGACAGAAGGAATACAGTCTAGTGAATTCTGAACAATTGTCCCCTTCTCTGTTTCAATATATGTGGAGATCTTGTCTACTTACCATAAGGAAAATATTAAAGAGGGCATTCATAAATTATAAGCATTTTTTTAAAAAGAGAAATCTATCTTTATTCTGAATTTTATCTTCACAAAGTTGAAATTTTGACTTCTCTATACCATTGAAAGATTTTTTTTTTTTTTCATAGCTCCGAAGATCATAGACCTGAATTGTAAGTAGAGGGTCTTATGGAAAGAATACCTGGTATCTCTAATATTATGGCTCAGTGGGTAAATGCACCCATCTGCTTATTAATTATCTCACAAAAGGACACATTGGTTTTCTTTTTAATAGAAGGTGTTTTTTGTGTAATAATTACAAAGATAGTTAAAGCCTCTAATTCTGTGAATAATACTCCAAGACAGTGGATCATTGAAGAGAACAACTTTCTGAAGCCTCAAATAGCATGAGAACAAATACTTGCAAATGTTCTCCCCAAAGATCTTGCAAGACAGGTAAAAAACCTGAGCACTCAGCATCCAACAGAATTTCAAATACACGAGAGTTTTTATGTTGGCAACTGTGACAATCATTCCTGAAAACCAAGGGGAGCCCTCTTTAACCAGTTCAGCCATATTCCCAAAAGATAGGGGTGCAGAGCCAGGTTCAGCCTCTAAGAAATCATTACCTGTGGGATAAAAGATACTGTAGCTGCTTGTGAGAGGTGACTGGCATCAATTCCAGAAAAGGTGCCATTAATTCTGATGGCTTTGCCTTTGTAAAAATTGGAGAGTAACCACTTTATAATGTTGTGTTCGTTTCTGCTGTAAGACAAAGTGAATCTGCTATATGTATACATATATCCTCTCCCTATGGAACCTCCCTCCTAACTACCCGCCATCCCACCTCTCTGGGTCATCACAGGGTACAACAAAATGAGCAACTAAGAAGCTTGGCAAAGTTATGGCAATGAGATGTCACAGTCACCAATCCACCCAGGGATTGGTTAAAAGCAGACCTGACAAAATTAATCAGGAGTGATAGAAATTAGATCGGTGAGTATACAGGGGGTTCGGAATGGACTGCCAATGGTATGCGTGAACTTTCTGGGCTGATGGAAATGTGCTATGCTTTCACTGGGGAGTTGGTTACATGGGAATATGTACTTGTCAGAACTCATCCAACTGTACATGAATATGGATGGATTTTATTGTATCTAAATCAAAGTACATTAATAGCTCAATACAAATTGATTAGAGATGAAAATCAGAGTTCAGAGAATGATTGGTTTTGGAGGCAGAGTGCTAAGGCAAAGTGGGGAGGCATAGAGTTTCCTGGAGCTTTCTGAATCTTTTTCCCCTTTCTGAATCTTATGAACCTCTCATTCCTCCTGCTGGCCTAGACATAGGGTTCCCTGGAGGGCTCATCAGGCTGTTCAGGCAAAACTTCTTGTCTAAAACTTGTCCTCTTTCTTTTCACAAAATTCTATCCCTGTTTTCCCATTGCTATCTTTCTCTCTCTCCTGCCCTCCTTCCTTCCCTTCTTATTCCTTTTTTTCCCATTAAAATCATCTTCTACTGTATATATGTACCACAATTTCCATGTGTATGAAATCTAGAAATATGGTACTGATGAATCTATCTGCAGGGCGGCAATGGATATGCAGACATAGAAAACAGACTTGTGGACCCAGTGTGGGAGGGAGAAGGTGGGATGAATTGAGAGAGTAACATGGAAACATATACATGGCCATATGTAAAATAGATGACAAGTGGGCATTCGCGGTGTGACATAGGGAGCTCAATCCAGTGTCCGTGACAAATTTAGAGCAGTGGGGTAGCGTGGGAGGGTAGTTCAAGAGGGAGGGGACACATGATACCTGTGGTTGATTCATGTTGATTAATGGCAGGAGCCAGCACAGTGTTGTAAAGCAATTATCTTCTGATAAAAAATTTAAAAAAAAATCAACTTGTAGAGGAAGAGTTATCTCCAAGGAAGCTATTTATTCTTCCAGACAATGAGAAAAACACTTTAAATATGAAAACTGAGTCAATTAATTTCTTCAGACTTAATAACTGAGTAGATGACTGAAAGATCTGAGACGGGAGAGTTTGCCTGAGCTGCTCATTCTGCGCCTTGCTTCACCCTGTGTCTGACCAGGATGCAGCGTCACAACCCAGTGAGAAACACAGGCTTCAGAGTCAGTTAGACTTGGGTTTGAATCCCATATCTTTGCCACTTATAAGCCACACAATATTTGAAATGATTCTTAGTATCACCAAACCTGTGTGTCCTCATCTACCACAGGCAGTTAAAACCACCTGTCCCAATAGATTATAAGGATTACATGAGATAACCAGTTACTTGAGGTTTGCTAGTTTCTTTTTCTTTCCCTTCCCCTTTGCCCAGACAGTCCCCACCTTAACCAACCAGACCTTCCAGCAGGAATCCTGAGAGAAAACCAGAGCAGTGTGTGAAAGGACAAGTACAAGGTGAGAAAAATGATGATATGGTCAGGACTATGATGCACTAACCCTGGGCTGGGAAGATCCCCTGGAGTAGGGCACAGCAACCAACTCCAGTAGTCTTGCCTGGAGAATCTCATGGACAGAGGGGCCTGGTGGGCTATGGTCCCTAGGGCTGCAGAGAGTCGGACACAACTGAAGCGACTTAGCATGCATGCACATGTGATGCATTAAATGACAATATTCTATTCTAAGGTGATAATTAAGAGATAGATGTAGATGTGCTTCTCCTTGAGGACAGGAATATGTATCTGTTTTGTTCCTTGCTCTATTGCTAGAATACAAGACCTGACATAGAGTCAGCAAACACATCTTTGCTGTTTGAAAGAATATGAAAACCAAGATCTGTTGTCACTTTAAGCAAGATTAGAAGGAATAAGTGAAACTCTTCTCTTTAACTGACTTGAGATCTAGATCACCACTGACAGTTTCCAAAATGAGTTTTACCAAAAATTTTGCTACAAGAGCATTATAACTGTCTGCAAATTTGCTTGAAAGTGAAAGTCGCTCAGTTATGTCCAACTCTTTGTGACACCATGGACAATATAGACCATGGAATTATCCAGGCCAGATGCTTGGTCACAATATAAAGAAGGAAAGTTCTTGAGTGTCAGAAAACTTCTCTGTATACGAAATATGATTTTTTTTTAAACATAAAAATTCTCTGTAAATAAACAAAAGTATAAAGAAGATAAAATCATACTTCCCATATAGACTGTTTCAAGATGTTTATACTTTTTCCTTTCATTCTTTCTATGTTTTCAAGCACCATGTAAATACTCACAAACCTGTCTGCATTTTCAGAATTAAAATTATATTGTGGTTTAATTGTACAATTCTGACTTTTATTACATCATATTATAAGCATTTCACTCAACTTTGCTTCATAATTTTTAAAATTGCTGCATATTCTATGGAATATGTATCCAAAATTTATGAGAAACGAGCCGGCTATCCCATAGTGATGGAGTCCCAGGCAGGTGCTATTTGGCTCAAGTTTGAGGCATGTACTCTGCCCTCTTCCGTGACAATGATGTCATGCTATTTGTGGTCCTGAAAAGCAGCACTTCTGGGAGTCAGACTAAGTAGATTAAAAGGAGACCCGAGGGCCTGGAGTTGAGAGGAAAAAACTTACGATGAAGAAGACTGACAGGGAGCGCCAGAAAATCAATGCTTAATGCCCCGTCAGCCGATCCAAAGTGTTCTTGGCATTGAGAGTTCTATCCATTATTAAGGAATCGAGGTAATGATGCATCTGTGTGAGCGCTGCCATCCTTGTCTCCCTACACACTTGAGCGGCCTAGAAGGAAGACATTTCCTGGTGACTCTAACGACTCTCTAAGATGGATTGTCTTTGCTGTGATGATAAGTAACATTTGCTTCGTGGTTCCTCTGTTCCCGGATCTCTTCTATGTCCTTTCCAAGCATTAACTCATTTAATCCTCACAACAATTCCAATCAACAATTTCCATTATTATCCCATTATCTTCATATCACAGAAATGATAAAGGAAGCACAGAGACATTATACAAATTGTTCTCAGACACTAAGATTTAAGGAGTTTCGATCCTAGAATATGTATGTATATGTAGTTATTACATATATGAGTGTATATGGGCACTTCATATACTACATATATATGTAGTTTATACATTGCACACAGGTATGTGTGTGTTTGTGTATAGCTTTCCCGTTTGTGTTTTTCCTACCTACTAAAACTTTGTCTATATTTGCATCTAAATATGATCCAACTCTTTCGTCCTCTGTTTATGAAAACTTGAGAACTACATTAGTTGTAGCTAACTTCCTCACCCCACATGTTTATCCTATCCCACTGAAAATGTGTTTTTCTTCTCTCTGTTCTATTAATGTAGCTCTTATAAGACCATCAATAGCCCTTGTAGTTTCCAAGGAGACTTTCAGACATTGGGCCTCTTTGTAGCTTTTAAAAGAGGCAGTTTTTGGCTGACTCTTTGGCGTTGAGAGCTCTGTCCATTATTAAGGAATCCCCCAAGAT